AGTGGTGTGAAAAAGATTTTGCCCCCATCCTGTTTTTTTAATTGTTTGCATATTTGTCACACTTAAAAGATTCAGATCATCAAACTAATTTTAATATTACACAAAGATAACCTGAGTAAATACAAACTGCAGTTTTGAAATTATGATTTCATTTATTAAGGGAAAAAAGCTGTCCAAACCTGCCTGGCACTACGTGAAAAAGTAATTGCCCCCTAAAGTCTAATAACTGGTTGTGCCACACTTTGCAGCAACAACTGCAATCAAGCGTTTGCGATAAATGGCAATGAGTCTTTCACAGGAATTTTGGCCCACTCCTCTTTGCAGAATTGTTTTCATTCAGCCACATTGGAGGGTTTTTGAGCATGAATGAACTGTTTAAGGTCATGACACAGCATCTCAATCGGATTTAAGTCTGGACTTTGACTCCACAACCTTAATTTTGTTTTTCTTGAGCCATTCAAAGGTGGACTTACTGGTGTGTTTTGGATCATTGTCCTGCTGCATAAACCCAGTATGCTTGAGCTTGAGGTCACAAACTGACGGCCGGAGATTCTCCTTCAGGATTTTCTGATAGAAAGCAGAATTCATGGTTCCATCAGTTATGACAAGTCACCCAGGTCCTTTAAGAGGAGGGGCAATTAATTTTTCACGTAGGGCCAGGTAGGTATGGACAGCTTTTATTCTTAGTATTTTCATTTATTCCCTTAATAAATGAAATTATCATTTAAAAACTGCATTTTGTATTTACTTGCATTATCTTTGCGTAATATTAAAATTGGTTTGATTATCTGAATCTTTTACGTGTGACAAATATGCAAAAAATAAACAAAACAGGAAGGGGGCAAAAACCTTTTCACGGCACTGTAGTTATTAAACTCAGCTGGGCATCAAATCACATAAAAAACATATGCATTTACAGGGTGTTATAACTATAATCTCCTCTCATGTTTTCTCTTGCACTCACCACCTTTTTCTTTGCTCCCTCTGCAATATCTACAGGAAGGCTGTGCTAGAGTTCTCCTGTTTCGAGGAGCAAATAAAGAAATCAAGAACTACAACAACCAAACAGCATTTCAGGTATAAAGCGTCTTTTAGCTGATGTTTTGGCTAAGCTCTAGTTCCTTTACTATTCCTTAATTTGTTGCATACTTTTTTTCTGGTAGGTTGCTATCATTGCAGGGAACTTTGACCTGGCAGAAATCATCAAGATTCATAAAACCTCAGATGTTGGTGAGTTGTCTATTTTACTTGGCACCACAAAACCATAATACGTTTTCGTGGGTTGTCTAGATGAAATCAGTTCACTCTAATTTAAATCCATTATTGAGTATCATTTCAGATAATACCTCAATTAATTATTTAGTCTAGTGGATATGGCACGAGCGCTCCTTTCAGAGTAAAAGCAGAAATGACAACATAAGAGTGTATGATCATATGAAACAGTGTGAATCTAGTAACCTTATCACAGCGTGTCAAAACAATCCATAAATGCATATTTTTTTTAAATTTCAGACAGTCAGTCTGATTGTGCAAGATCTAGATACTGTTCCTATCAGCGCTCTAACTTTACAATAAGTGATGTATTTATAGTACTTGTCGTACTAGTGTATGTGGGCTAATCTCTTTATGATTTGTGTGTGTTTCTCTTTGTAAATCTCAGTCATGCTCTGTGTGATGTAATCTGTGAGTCATCTGTTTGTAATTTCTGTGTAATCTGAGTGTTTCATGTGCTGATCTTTCTGTCCGGTCTTCATGACGTATTTGATTAACTCACCAGTGCAATCCCCGCTTCACACCCAATTTGTGTGTGTGTGTGTGTGTGTGTGTGTGTGTGTGTTTTTTAGGTTGTGGCTCTGTACCCCTGCAGATTTGACGTGAAACTTTGTGTGTTTAAAGTGGCCATATCATGAGGAATCAAATTTCGTTCAGTATACTAAAAACTTGCTGTATCTTTCAAAACTAAAAAAGTCCTTCCCAGTCTAAAAAGACCATTAATCTCGTATAAATCAGAGGAAGTTGCATTCATAAAAATAAGGATAATAAATTGCATTATTTTTAGAATGCCCTTGAAGAAGGTGCATACAGTAACCGTAACATTTAAATATATTTCACAAGACAGTAACTGAATTGTGTGTTGCCTCCTCAAGCATCAGTGTCTGTCACCTGTTGTGATAGTTGTGCATGACTCACTCAGCTGTCAACAGTCACTCAATACATAATTACATGTTTGAGTTCTCAACCACAGTTGCTCAGAGCATGCTGGGGAAAATAGAACTTGCTGTACCTGAATGGATTTAGTAAACATGGACAAACCGGCGACTCATTCACAATTACCACAAAAGACTATAAACAATTATTGATATTCAAAGAGGCAACACACATTAAGAACCAAGGGTTGTTATATAAAAATGTTAATCTTTCTCTTATTTATTATTATTTTTTATGATTATTCTTAATAATAATGATCATTTGTAGTAGTAGTAGTAGTAGAATTTTTTATTTAATTATTATTTCTCATTAAAAATGTTAAATATCTTACCGATTCTGCAAGTGGTATTTAAACCTATAAACAAATGTATATTAACACAAAACCTACAAATCAACATCACCTATACAGGCCATTTACATCTGAAGTGTTAAAGGTACACTAGCAAAACGGCACGTTTAATTATAAAGGTGGAAATTGGTGATGAAAAACTAAATTACTTTATTTCGATATGTTTTAGGTTTTTGAGGTTTGATATGACCCCTTTAAAGACTGACTTTATTTAAAGTATTTACATTCATAAACCATGAGCCATCAAGGACTTGCAGCCCATACACGACCTCCAACTGACCATTTCAATCAAAATTAATTGGATTTATTACATATAATCTTAAACAGCAGCCATACATTTCTAGGCCATTCCGTGGTTCACAGATGGGATGCTAGTCATCAGGTTATGAGTGATTCCTCTCTATCTCAGCCTGATACAGGTTAATCTGTTCTGCTAGTCTTTTTCTTCTTGATAGATTGGATATATCCGTTCCAGCCTCCTGGAGAGCATTCTTGATCCATTCGATAGGCGAATATGGGTTTTATTCACAACTGATAGGATTCTTCGAGAATCCATTAAAGTGGTCATTCTGGTCTAGCAGGTCATTTAATGTTTCGATGATTTAGGCTACTATTTTCTTAGCAAACAGCACATCTTAGCTGAATTTGATCCAGGTGTGTATTAAAATAAAATTGTCTGGAAAAATCAACTTGGGATGGAAGAAAATAAACACTGTTTCTATGGCGCTTTTAAAAATGTGCTTTGTTTGAATGACACAGCAGAATATTAAAAGGACTGCAATTTCCAAATGGTTCTCGGATGTAAATATATATGTTTAAAGATAAAAGTGCACTTTAATAAATATAATGTGCAGTAGTAAGAGCCAAATTGTGTTACAGCACAAACACGCATTATTTCCTTTTCCATAATTGGTGTGTGTGGTGTGAATCTTTTGTTATGTGCATGTCCGATATCTTCCAAAAATGTACATGGTTTTATATTACAAGCATGGAGATTTCTCAAATCAAACTGAGTAATACAGCAATATAGATGTCAGTCGGCTCTGTGTTCTCATGTTGCATAACTATTTATATGTTGCTGTCTTCCTGTAAAAGTGCCTTTCAGGGAGACCCCTTCTTACTCGTCTCGGCGGCACGCGGTCTGCGTATCCCCACGTCGCTCTCTGATGCGATCGGCCAGTGATAATGCTCTAGATGAGAGTCTGCCAGCTCCCTCTCCGGCCCCCTCACTTCGCAGCTTGCCCCCGCTGGAGCCTGATGACACCAACCCGTCCCAGCGCAGCCCCCAGGCAGCTCACACTCACACACGCAGCCTCAGGAGACACACCCGCTCAGGAGGACACCTCAGGTGCGGAGCCGTCCTTGATTTGTAGAGCATTAAAGAGAGGTTTCTACAAACTAATGACTTTTTCTTTTTCTATTTTAACACAAAATTAAATATTTAGCAATATGCCCAGACTGCTCTTTTCCATAAAATTAAGTTGAATTTTTATTTAATTTTCGCTTGAATTATTATACACTTCAGGTGTGGAGTCATCCTTGATTTGTCTCCAAACCTTTTTGTCTTTTTACTTTTTCTTTTTAAACACAAAATTAGATATTTAGCAACATGCCAGACTGCTCTTTTCCAATAAATCAATAAATATAAATAAAATATTTCTTTTAAATCTCATTTTTTATTTTTGCTGAAATTTATTTGCAATTATTTATTTAAATTATTTGCATTTTATTTACACCTCGGGTGCGAGTCATTTGTTTTTTTTGCTTTTTCTATTTAAACACAAAATGAGATCTTTAGCAACCTGTACAGACTGCTCTTTTAAAAAAATATATATTATTATTTGCACCTCAGGTGCATTGTCATCCTTGAATTCTCCAGTATTAATCAATAATACTTTCCGTACCCACTGTATATATATATATATATATATATATATTCTTTATTCTTTTTCTATTTGAACACAAAATGGGTTAATTAGCCTCAAGCCCAGACTGCTCCTTTCCATAAACTTAAAGTTTAAAGTTTAGATTTCATTTTGTTTTATTTAATTATTTGCTGTTTTTATTTACATTAAATTTTATGAATAAATCAGAAAAGTAGCTTTTTCTTCATTCAACAAAAATGCATGGTGATTGAAGTTCAGTTGCAACATTTATAATGGGAGTAAAAACTCATGCTCATAATTATGTGAAATATGAATATTATAATTGATAGTTGTAATAATAAATTAAATTTTAAATATTAAAATAGTTAATTATAATAAATAATAAAGTATTGATTACCTGACATAAAAGACTATATCAACTGGTTGTTAATAATTTCTGCACACGTGTTTGCAGCCCTGGCAGTCCTGTACAGAGAGAGCCGAGTCCTCCTGCTGTGTCTCGAGGGCCCAAGCGACGGCTGTACAGTGCGGTGCCTGGCCGAACCTTCATTGCTGTCAGCTCCCACAATCCACAGGGCGAGGGTGAGATCACACTCAACCGAGGAGAGAGGGTCAAAGGTCAGTCAGCCAGCTTCTCTGTTCAAGATGCAGCAAAAAAAATTTAATAATAATCACATTATTTTTATGCTGGAGGTTGCTACAGTTTGTGGCATTCTGAATAGTTCTTCAGCTATGGGCTCTTTTGGCCCTGTCGACTTTTATAAATTCTCTAGTCTATTGAATGTGTCTACTCTGTGTTCAGAAGTGAATATACATGCATTACAGGAGAATTGAACCATCATGAACAAATTAGAAATAAAATGGCCAACTGTCTTGCAGAAGCTAGCTGTTTGTTTTTTTCCTATATACACTCTCAAAAAATATTTTGACAAAATTATGGATTGATTGGAAATTATGCAAAATCTTAATCTTTTTCCGATTTAGTTTTTTTACATCTCAAATTTTATCCAAAGTATATTCTTGTCACCTTGGTAAATAAGTATAAACATTTGAGAAAAAAACTGAGGGCCTTAATTTGTGTAAGAATTGATATAATCATCATTTTCATATATATATATATATATAATTAAATTGTGATGTCTTGGTTTGGAACAAGGGTAAAACAATAATATTTATACTTGAAGGCATTTCGAAAAGTAACAAAACTAAATGAAGACTTGGTAAAAAGTGCCTACGAAGACAGATTTAATGTAATCTTCAAGTAACTAAATAAATAAAAAAAATTAAAATAAAAAAGTTAGTTTTAATATCTGGGACAAGAAATGCCTGCAGTTGAATAAACATCCATCCAGGTAAATATACCAAATACAGCATAAAATGGTTTATACGTGTCTCCACCAGTGCTAAGCATAGGTGAAGGTGGATTCTGGGAAGGCTCAGTTAAAGGACGAACTGGCTGGTTTCCTGCTCACTGTGTAGAGGAAGTCCAGATGAGACAATATGACCCCCGACTAGGTCAGTGCGCACACACACACACACACACACAACTGCATTCAGAAGCATTATTTGAAAGTATTCTGCAGTTTAACGTTCAGATCTTATTGTTATTGATGTGGCCAAACATCTTTTTCTCAGAGACAAGAGAGGATCGCACCAAGAGACTTTTTAGGCACTACACTGTTGGCTCCTATGACAACTATACCTCTTACAGGTATACACACACACACACACATAGACATACTGTATATATACACAGAGAGAGAGAGAGAGAGAGATACATGTGCACAGTATACATACTGCAGAAATAATATGAGTAGTATTGTATTATGTCTTTCCAACCATTGTCTTTCTCTCTCCTTCATCCTGAATAAACAAAATATGGTGCCAGTGTTGGGGATTATGGGTATATGGGTATGGGAGGGGGAATCTATGAAGACAGTGAGTTCTGGCAGTGCAGCACATCTGACTATTGATTTCTATAAATTCACAGCGATTATGTTATAGAAGAAAAAAGTGCAACGCTGCAGAAGAGAGACAGCGAAGGATTTGGCTTTGTGCTTCGGGGAGCTAAAGGTCTGAAACACACACACACACACACACACACACACATACACACACACACGTATGCATGTTAGCATGAATAAAATTCACATGCAAATGCAGTAATTAAATCCTCTCTCTTGTCAGCTGAGACACCCATAGAAGAGTTCACACCAACTCCTGCTTTTCCTGCCCTGCAATACCTGGAGTCTGTGGACCTGGAAGGGGTGGCGTGGAGGGCAGGGTTAAGGACGGGAGATTTCCTCATTGAGGTTAAAAAATACTTTTGATTTATACACACACACACACATACACACACAGACAGACACAACTTTTTCTTTGCTAAAGCAGTGATTTTCAAACCATATTTTCAAAAACTGGCCTAAATTAATAATTGTAATTAAAAAGCAAACACATTTAATTATTTGACAAATCTTGGAAATCTCATACGTCACCAGAGTTGTCTGCCAATTGATTAAAAATGACAAGCTCAATTCTTAAAAAAAATTAAACATGCAAGGGTGAATCATTCATAATAAGATCAATAGCATACATTTAGAAAATAGATTGGGTGAATTTCAATTTCATGCTGACTTTTTTAGACTGAAGAATGTCATTATGCTTCTGCTGGGTTTCTACCGGCTATGTGTTACATCTTTCTCTAATTCTCCACACATTTGTCAGGTAAATGGGGTGAGCGTAGTAAAGGTGGGACATAGGCAGGTGGTATCACTGATTCGACAAGGTGGAAGTCGGCTAGTAATGAAGGTGGTGTCTGTCACGCGCAAGCCTGACACTGGAGATGTCGTCCGCAAGAAAGGTTCTTGTCCTCAACTTCATTAATGCATGCAGACTATGCTTTTTTTTTATTTGACTGGATGTCAAGATTTAGAGAATCCTGCTAAATTTAAATATTACATTTCTTGTTCTTCCTGATAATTAATTAGCCCCACCACCACCCAAGAGAGACGCAAGCACCAGCCTGACCCTGCGCTCAAAAAGCATGACTTCAGAACTGGAGGAGCTGGGTAAGACAGATGCTCTTATAAATAAACACAGATGCAAACAACATCTTGTGTTATGCTAGGTCTCAGATGAGTTAAAACAGATGTTATCATTATCTTTGAGGGCACGGTACATGTTGGAACGTTTTTTTCCCCAGTAACGCTAATGGAGAAATGCGTGCAAATTAATGTCTTTTCTTTCCGTGAGAATGATACAGCAGTGCAAGGAGTGTGGATGATTGTGCAGTGATAGCTTTGCTCATTCATTGCTAATGAAAAGTGACCATCAAATACTCAATCTATGAGCTAAATCAGGAACTATAGATTTGTCCTTCTTGTCCACAAGCGTCAAGGAGAAGGAGGGGAGGTAAGATATAAAACCAGTCTCATGTTGATGATTTCCTTTACTGGTTCTATATGCTGATTAGCATGTGATGTCATGGATGGATTTATCTAACCTGTTTATTTAGCTTGTGTGTTGTTGCCTGTGACTGCGAAAAAATTGTAAAGTCAAAGTATGTATATGTGTTTGCGTTTCTTTTTGTGGATTGTAGACAGCTATTATGTATGTGTTTTGTACTGTATTTGTGGCTGTATATTTGTTTTAGTGTTCCTTCAGACTATGTATATTATACACATGGGATCTGTGTACTTGTATTTTCTTGTGCACTTGGTGACTGTGATTGGTCTTCTGTGATTTGATCAGAGGAAGGACTGGAATATTGGTCAAGAATGTGTATTAAGTGTTTTGGTATGTGTGTGGATCTGTGTGTATCCCTCACAGACAAGTTGGATGAGATGTTATGTTCACCCAAAGAACCGGCTGTAGTGATGAGGCCACGTCCTGCGGAAACGGACTCCAGAGCAGCCACTGTGAAACAGAGACCAACAAGTCGCCGCATTACACAGGCTGAGATCAATGTGAGTGTAATACACATAAACATACAACATTTTTAAAAATTGTGTACTTTTAAAGGTGTTTTTAATATATTATAATAATATAAAAGTTATTATATTTTTATTGAAACTAAATACAAGAGCCCTTGTTATACATGGCAATATGTATTTTCTGACATAAATTCTGGCCAGTATTTGATCATGTATTGTTTTTGTTTGTGTGTAGTCTCTGTTAGAGAGGCAGGGTTTGCCAGTAAGTTCAGGAGTGTCCTTGGCTGTGGACAAAAGTCACATGCAGCTGCCTCGGGGAATGTCAAGAACCAAGTCATTTGGTAATGTGTCATTTGGCACATACACAAATACAAACATTCACACAAATTCCTTTTTCAGAAACATAAACCAATGATATAGAAAGGGCTATTAAACAATCAGAATTCTGAACTTTGTTCAAAACAATACACCCACAGTCTCACCGAGAACTGTTTTATAGGTGCTCCTGAAGATGAAAGAATCTCAGCCCTGATTGGAGAGCATCGCTTTCCAAGAAGCTCCTCAATGACTGACAGCTTTAGACAAGATAGTATTCCACCCCCTCCACAGACAGCTCCTCCACCACCTCCAACTCCCTACTTCCTAGATTCAGGGCCACCGCCATCCTTTCTTCCACCTCCGCCCCCTTCTCGCGCTGCCAACCAGAGCCGTTCAAGCTTCCGCCCAGGGGCAGAGCCCAAACTCCATGGCCCAGTCACGACAGACCGCCAGCGAAAAACACGCTCCATGATCATTCTTCAGGATACCACTCATTTGCCAGTGGAGCCTGCCCCTATCGCAAGACCACAAACGCCTACCTCTGGAGTGGTTCCTACTGAACGTGGTCGTAGGCGTGGACCACCTGTGGAGAATCCATATGCTAACATAGGTCGTCTTAGTGCGGTCTATACTCCTTCCAAGCCCCAGCGTAGAAAGAGCCCATTAGTCAAACAAGGACCAGTTGAGGAGGGAGCCGCTGCTCAGACTACTAGAGACCCCTCTCCTTTGGGAGGGTCACGGATTCCCCATAGCAGCCGAGCAGAGCAGTTCCAACAGCAGGTTCTCTCGGAGCGAGCTAGAATCACACCTCCAGGGGCCCGACGCAGGACCAGCGTTTTTCTATCTGTAGAAGGGGGTGCGACAGAGCCACTGACAACCCCTTTACTTTCTCAGTCTCACTCCGTGGATGAGTTGGCTGAGCTGCCTCCACCTGCACCAATGCTTTCCCCTGGCCCACCACCAGGGGGCACCACTTTTATACACCCTCTAACAGGTCGACCACTGGATCCTTCCTCACCTCTAGCTCTTGCACTGGCTGCACGAGAACGTGCCCTTAGTGGCCGGAATACACCCACTCCTACACCTTCGCCCACACCTTCGCCCACTCAAGGTCGAGCAGTGGAAAGGCCAGAGACTGAAGGAGGAGCAACACCACCTGCTCCTCTCGAGGCACCTCCATCTAATTCCTGGAGAGACGAACCGGTGAGCATCACAGAAACAGCAAGCCAAGTGACTAGCGGTAGCCCTGGGTCTGGACGAAGCCTGGAAGAGACACTTGTCCCACCCAGCGTGCAAGGTGTCCAACCTGTGCTGATGGATACAGAACATACCCCACCAGCGGTCCCACCCACTCTACCTTCTCCTGCCCCTACCCTCTCAAATCTGACTGCTCGAAGTCTGACTATGAGCTCCGAGGAGGAAGCGGAGCCTTACACAGTGACACTTCCCTCTGCGTTGCTCTCGTCCAGTGATGAGGAAACCAGAGAGGAGCTTCGGAAGATAGGCCTCGTGCCGCCCCCTCAACCCTTCGCTAATGGCCTTCTAATTAAAGAAACACCCAAAGCCACTCTAAGCATTTCACCTAGTGGATCACGGCCATCCATTGCAAAGACCTCCTCTGGAAAAGCAAGCGATTCTACGGCAGACTCTGGGGTTGAAGACCCACATATGGAGACCACCAGTACTGTTTCTACAGTCTCCAGCATGTCCACTTTGTCTTCAGAGAGCACAGACTCCACTCATGCTAGCAAACAACGTTCTGGGGTGGGGCGTGGTCGCCCCGCCCATCTCAGGGACCCACTGCTTAAACAGTCATCAGACAGTGAGCTGCTTCCACACCCACCCAGCACAGGCCCCAGCCGTCCACGCTACCTATTCCAAAGACGTTCCAAACTCTGGGGGGAGGACCCCCGGGCCCAAATGGGTGGGTCTGATGAAAGTCGGCCTGCTGCAATGGGGGCAGAGTTGCTAAGCAAAGACACTCATTCACTAGGGGAGGAGCCACCAATGGGAGCGCCTCTTGACCCCGGCAGGAGATCACCTGTGGGAGGTGCCAGGTAGGAAAGACCTGTTAAAAATTGTACCAACTTGACAACAGCAGCACATTTTGCACACCTGCATGAAACACAACACAACTTTCAATATCATTTAGCAATACACCCACTTGACTTTTGACACCCTTAGCCACATACCTGGTTAAATTGCCTTTCCATAACACACATGTGTGTGTGTGTGTCTGTATGTCCTTGCAGATGTGAGGAGAATGGAGGAGAGAGTAAATCGTAGGTTTTTAGCTCTGTGGGTAAAAACAACTCCTTGTCTAACTAACTTTCACTAAACCCTTTACTGTAGCCGTTAATCAAGCTGCAAATGCTGCTGTGGGCTTGTCTTAAAAGCTTATGGTAGTTCATTATGCAGTAACGGAGGCATTTCAGCTTCTGTCTGTCCTTGGAAACTGGAATTTTCAGTGTACCGCTGAGGGCCAATCAAATTGCTTTTTAATAAAAAGTAAATTAAACAAATGTTGAATCTACATTTAGTTTATATTGCTGCATTGATTGTGGTAAGTTTATTGCAGCAAGTTTCGGATGTTTACAAAATGAAAACTGAAAGCATGCTGTGGTGGAAATACTGTGAAATGCTAATGCACCAATTCTTTATACCCTTTCTGAGGACTCCAGTTTTATATTAACTGCTCTAACTGTTATTTTATTGCATTAAGTTCTCACTGCATGCTCTGCACTATTTAAATTTTCACAAAAATGCAATGTTTACAGTATTGGATCCGCATTCCTCTTCTCACATTAGCATCCCAGTAGTTTCCCAATAGTACTGCAGTTAAAACTCTACCTTTCTTTACTTTTTTGCTTCAGCTACACCTTCCTCTTTTTGACTTGTCTTTTAGGTTTTCACTGTCTCTCTCTCTCTTAGACTCTTTAGTAGTTTAGGGGAGCTTCACACCATTTCTCAGCGGAGTTACGGCACCACCTTCACAATCCGGCCTGGCAGCCGATACCCAGTGACCCGTAGGACTCCAAGCCCTGGAGCTACACCAGAACGGAGTGAACCGTTGGGGCCTGTCCGTACATTTGGCCCTCATCACCACCATCACACAATCCTCAAGTCTTCTAGTCTAAGTTTGCCCCAGGAGCCCAAGGAGGTGCGTTTCGTCATGAGGAGCGCCAGTGCTCGAGCCCGCAGCCGTTCTCCATCCCCTTCTCCATGCGCCTCCCCCTGCCCTTCACCGGTACTGGGAGCCCCTCTCCTGTCCTTACGGCCATTCAGACAGCGCCCCCTAGCACTGTGGAGTAAGTTTGACGTTGGAGAGTGGCTAGAGAGTGTGGGACTAGGAGAACATCGTGCCCGCTTTTTGGAGCATGAGATTGAAGGCGCCCACCTGCCTGCACTGACCAAGGACGATCTGGCAGAGTTAGGGGTGACGCGGGTGGGTCACCGAATGAACATCGAACGTGCACTGAAGCACTTGGTTGAGAGTTGAGGAGAACCAAAATGCAAGATATAGTTCCATCACTAAATAAAATTGTACTATTAATATTTCAAGTTATTCCGAAGTCTAACACCATTGATTCCAACCCACTTTATTTAGCATTGCACAGCCCTTATATAATATATCTTTGACTCCCACAAAATCCACCATGTTTATTCACTAGTTTGCCACCTACTAAGAGTAAAAATAACATGATGGACAGGAGTGTGGACCTACTGCGCAATATCTACTATTTACAGCTACAGGTCTAAGAAAATTTAACTGGCCATGTTTTTAACTGGGTTTTCTGCACAATAACAAATGATATAGCCATGTTCTACAATCAAATGATGATGATGAAGGTTTGGCAAACATACAGACTGCTTTCACATTAACAGAGGAAGTTTAAGAATATCTTCACTGTCTGGATTTGCGTACATTTCCTGTTTCCAGGAGAGAGACTTCTGAATTTTAGAAAGCAGGGTCAACTTGAATACAAAGGAAAAGAGAAGTGCGGAAACCTCTTCTATAAGCAATGCCAATGCTTCCAAGTGCCCGGAATTTACAGTATGTTCACCGACCATTTTGCAACTCAACAGTAGATAGCCATGTTAATGGTGATTATAAGATGCGTTGCAGCAACTTGACTTGGCATGTGAATGCAACCTGTTCAAATAAGAAAGGATCTGACAATCTGCCCTAAACCAGGAGAATAAAACTCCCAATACAAGTGTGGCCTTGAGGTAATACTGCCGCCATCTAAAATTTGTTAAAGATAGATATTTTCAGTCACTACATTCAATTTTATATGTATATGATATATATGGAGTTATATATTCAAAAAAAAAAAAGAATGTATGAGAATAAGGTGAGATATACTTGTCTTATGCTCTGTGAGATTGTGTCATATTTGGTCTTACTTTCGATTTGTTATTTTATTTGCCAATTATCAACCAATACCCTAACATGAACGCAGTTACTCTTTTCCCCCATGGTATAACTTGTGATTTGTGAGTTATAAACAATCTTTGGACTAGTTCATGGTCAGTTATTTAAGAATTTCATAATTACAGACAGACCTTTTTTGTCTATTATGAATAAATGCTCAGTATGACTGTATGTAGAATAACTGTTTCGTTTTAAACAGAATTTGAAATACTATGGGTTGTAGGAATTTA